TTCTAATATTGGCATAATTCAAAGTGGAAAAGGCTGCTCCAGACAACACATTTTCTCTGTTTAGTGAACATGCTCCTCAATACGCCATCGCTTGATTACGTCACGGTACCTTGCGCAACGTTAATTGAGAGCCAATTGATGGCTGTTATATCCAAAACTTGTGCTCACGAACGGCAGATATGAGCGTCTCGGCAATCATGTTTTTCTTGACCTTGATAGCCGCATGGCCTGTGTAATAACGATATTTAAATGACGTCATCATGACGTCACGAATGCCTGAGTGACCTTGAAAAAGTCTGTCCGAAAAAGTCTGCACAAACTGGCGGGCGAATAGCTCAGAAACTAGAAGGATTTAGGTCTTAAGAAAGGCAAGGCTGTGAACTGCACCGATTGATTTTCAAGCTCGTTATTTCAGTTCAAACCCCCAGTTAAAAGTGGAACGTTCCCTTTAAGGCGAGGTTGCACACGTACCTTCCTTTTTCATGCGGACAATTGGAGGACTGTTCTCGAAATCGCGGCAGTGTTACAACTATGCTTACATCGACGGGCTTCCGCATGCAGCGGCGATTATGCGCGACAGCGTTGCGTATGAGATTTGGTTCTGTGACTGGCCTGAAATAAGGCGGAGTGCCCACTTAGGTGCGATGGTTATCTTTTACTTGGGTGATAATGTGCTCCGTCGAGGCATTAGGAATGACTGGTAGATTTCTGCTCCTGGTCATGACCGTCCAGTGCTCGCGTTGCTCCGGTTCTCTGTTTTCTTTTTTCTTCTGTTCTGTCTTGTCTACCAATGACATATTTATGTCAATATAAATATACTATGCAATATAAATATAACAAATACTTATGTTTTTGTGCATAAGAATTTACACATAACTACATTGTATGGATATACCTCCGCGTTCGGTCAGCTGAAAATTCTTCCAAAAAACTGTCACGCCGTCACACCTCACAGTCGCAGCAGAACGCCATCGGGTGGCAGTTATGGCGAACAGAGCCGGAAGCAATCACCGACCTGAGACACCTGCACGCACCACGCAGCCAAGATGTGCAGGTGCATCTTTGTATTCACTACCACCCGCATTCGCGAACAGTGGGCCGTGAACCGCCACACACGTGCGCGTAATATTTTACCTCATCACGCGGGCCCGTCAGCCGGCTGGCCCTCACCATCATGGCGGCCGGTGAGTCACTTCAATATGGCAGCCCATCTGGCAGCCGACGCCCGTGTAACTCGGGCGCCCACCGGCGCCATAACAATCACGAGCCGTCATTCCCGGGCCCGGCCGGCGCCCAACTACCACGAATCCTAATTAAGACGTGTAAAAGTCGTGAGCCGAGATTTATAATTGGAAGCTAATTGAATTAATGTTTTAATTTGAGCCGGCTGAGTTATCAGGCGCGCTGCACCGGAGACCGGCGGTGCCCCGAGGCACCGGAGACTACGGGCGCACCGTCTGCAGGGCCGCATGCAATGCTCGGCCAGCCGCCGGTTAGTGTCGACCTGATGGGAATATTCCACGGCCGTTATGGCCGGGAAATTAATTCGGAATCAATGAAGCCGTCAGAAGTGACGCGAGGAGGGCGAGGTGGGAGGATGAGCGGGGCCGGCCCACGGCGCTGCGGGTCAGAAGGTCACTGTCCTGGAGCCAGGACTGCGGGCGAGGCTGATGCCGCTCCACTCCCATCCCGGGTAATCTCACAGGGCTTGCACGGTGGTTGGTACGCTGGCCACGCGCGGGTGGCAACGGCGTTCCGGCAGGCATCCCGAGTGCGGCGGCATGCTGAAATCGTGGGCGTGAATGTGCCTTCGAAATGCCTTTGATAGAGGATGGAGTGCGGCCAGGGTCCAGGGCTGTTGAGCATTTGAACCCTATTCACGATGCCATCATCAGACTTGGACCGAATTTAGTACTAAATCTGAAGTGCATGACAATTTCAAGGAGCAGGAGCGAAACTTCTCGGCCCTACTCCCGGCCAGGGCTATGAAATGAAACCTTATTGTCACTTCTGGAGCGGCTTTATTTCGCCATTAAGAACCCATCGTTTCACACTTGTTGTGCGTTATAACTTGGCCCTGTGGGACGAAGTCCACATCCATAAAATGTCCAATTGGCTCCGGGCGACGAACCAAAGCATTGCTGTAGTGAAGTTTACCGGCCATTTTGATAAGCTTGATGACGTACAATGGGTGTGGCCACTGCTTATCCCATTTGATGGGCATTTTAGGTGAAGGATCGAGCAAGGTCCCTGTCTAATGATGCTTAGCGTAGAAAGTGATATCAAGGGGTTTCGTACCGCAGGCACTCCAGCAGGGACAGCCGTGCAGCAGCGCAACAGGCTTTCCAGCAGGGACCAGTCGTGCGGCAGCGCAACAGGCGCTCCAGTAGGGACCAGCCGTGCCTTAGCGCAGCAGGCACTCCAGCAGGGGCCAACCGTGTAGCAGCGCAGCCACGGGTTGCACTTTGTGTGGGGTAGGTGTGGAGAGCTCTATGCTACCTTGGAAGTCGGTGCGATAAATCCTCGCCAATTTCTAAATGCACCTGTTATTTGTTTAAAATGCCGTTCTCTGCACCATTTCCACTATTCATAGTTTTACAGTGTAAAGCAGAGGGTACATTGCAAGCAGCGTGAAAATGTATGAATATATACTTTTCTCCCCCAGATTAGGCACTTTCCCCTGAACTACTAAACAACTCACGCCAAGAAGTGATCGCAAATTCCCTACATGTATAAAATACCCACCCTACACAGCACGGCACGTCACAAATGACAACATATGCTTGTTTTAGTGCCATTTTAGGAGCTATTGCGGTTTGGTTGAAAATTGCGGAGAATGTCATTCAAAATAAATGGCACGTGCGACTAGAGATGTGTGGGCATTGTCCATTGGTATGGGTTCTCCACGCAAGCTTCTTGGCTCTGCTGAAACTCACACCAACTTCAAAACCGCTCGTGCACTCCTGGGCGCAGCAGCCACTCCAGGGCGGACACTCCGCCGTGCAGCAGCGCAGCAGCCACTCCCGCGCGTGCAGCAGCGCAGCAGCCACTCCAGCGCGGACACCCCGCCGTGCAGCAGCGCAGCAGCCACTCCCGCGCGTGCAGAGTGGACTTTCCGGCGGTCGTTCGACATCTTAATTAACAATTACATCCTGCCGCGGGGCGGCTCGCGTGCTGGCCTGTCCCGCCATGTCATTGGCCGGGCCGTAATGACAGAGCGCTCGCGGCCGGTCAGCGACGTACCCCCGGCCGCCCCCTGTTGACACAGCCGCCGTCGACGAAAATGGCGCCGCCGCCGCGCCGGCATTGATTTAAGTGGGCCACGCATTGGTGTATCGCTGTCACGCGGCCGGCGAAGATGGTGGCGGTTGTTTACGCGGCGGGGCGGAATTGGGGCGGTGTGAGGGCCCCGTCGGCCGGCCTGCCCCTGTTTACGTCGGGGAAGCCGGACTGGGCGGCGGAGGTGGGCTATTTCCCGATGCTGAGGGGTTGTGTGGCTGTTTGGGCTTGCGGTGTGGTAAAAACCAATTCGTTATGAGGAGGGTGGACGTTCTGCGTTCGGTTTATTATAATTTGAGACGCTACGTGTCGGCATCAAACGAGCTAAGGTCTTCCTTCGCGTCGAGAAAAAGAATCGCCAACCGCAGCTTGGACCGCTCACACTTTGGCTGTCGTGTATGTTCGGTATTCGGCGTTCAAGTCATCAGCACCGAGCGATTTGGTCGGGCCCTCACAGCCTTCCGGCGTCACGGCATGCCTTGCACGGCGCGGTTTGCTCGTGCACGGGTCCAAAGTTCCGTCGCCCGGGGGATGATGACGTCTGCGAGTGACGTGCTCTTCTCACAGACGTGCTTCCCTACAGACTGACGTGTGTGACCTGCGGAGTCAGTAATGCTCAGGGTCCTGTGATCTGTATACCAGCCCACGGTGAGAATTCAGTCCTAGCGCGTGACGTCACTGGGATATTTGATGCGAGCGTGGGCGTGTAAAGCTATGAAAGTGGTCATGCCAAAAATGACACGTGCACTCCGCCAAGTTCACCCTGCATCGTTGAATTTAATTCACCGACGTTTTCCTTGTCTTGCTCCATGTGCGTCACAGAAGCGGGGCACTTTTGAGGACGGCGTGGCTTTACCTGGGTTCTAAAGTCTTGCTCTTACCTGTTCTAGAGCCTCGGGAATGTTGTACGGTGCGACTGTGGCCTTGCCATGCATCACTGGCGTGGGCGTTTTGCACCTAATGGGTATATGACGACCTCACAGCCCAGCAGACAACCGAATGGGCACAATTAATTTATTCGATGAACACATACGCCGAATTTTGAAATAACCGTATGGCTCAAGCTACAACAACGCTAACGCACCATTATTTACCACGGTCCATATCATATTCTCTAAACGCCCGAACCACCGCGTTAAACCAATCCCATCGTCAAATACAAGGTAACTCCTCGCTGGGCTACCGTGTTAGATTGGGTAAAGCTATATTTCACGTGGATGTACCATTCAAAGTTACAACTATCACTCGCATATGCAGTCGTACGTATCTCACTGTTAGTCCCGCATATGGCTGCGCAAAAGAGCCAACCCTCCAAATGACTGCACGGTATCCTGATATGTTAGAAAACTCAACCAACAGAGAGTCGTAGGAACGTGGTTGTTGGGTGGCAATGCAGCAGAACGCTAGTAACAAAATGCGATCAAATCTATCGGATGCTAAGAGGTGGTAGACATGATATCAGGAACTGACTTCTGACCTCTGTGGCGCCGCAGTGACACCCTATCTGTCACGTCGTCCGTCACGCGTCCGTCACGCCACACCATATATAATGAGGCAACCCCACGAATAATTGATAAGACAGCTTCACACTGCGAAGTTCGTGATTTAAAGAAAACAACAATAACGAGGCTGGACATGTACTTAACTTTGGTTCGTCTGGGCCTAGCTACCTTCTCGCTGGGCCGCCACATCCTCCGTTCCGATCGGGTCTCCCGCCGTACCTTCATCGGTCCCTCCAGCAGGACCTCCCGCAGCGCCTCCAGCAAGGTCTGCAGCAACATCTTCAACGGAACCTCCAGCAAGGCCTCCAGCAAAGCATCCAGCAGGGGCTTCCAACAGGGCCTGCAGCATGATCTGCAGCAGGTGTGTCCTGGGCTTCCACTGGGTCCGGTCGTCGCTCACCCAGCAAGCTCTCGATGCTGAAGAGGGTCGCCTTGCGCGCCGGCGCCGGCGCCGGCAGGCTCAGCGAATCGCTGGAAGCGTCCTCGGTGGACACGACGTCGATCTCCGGTTCGTCGCGCCGCTGCCGGCCTTCCCACTCGGCTCGCAGCGTCGTCAGCTCCACGTGGATGCCCTTCTGGGCGAGCTTGCGCTGCTGCCGCTCCAGCTGCTTTATCAGCTTGCGCTCGCGCTTGTCCTGCTCCTTTCGCTCCAGCTCCTCCTGCCAACGAAAATGGGTGTTGTGCGCGCACGGCTGGGTGGGGACAGATGGGGCAACTTAAAGCGCAAGCAGTGCGCCACTCAGCTCAAGAATGTGTACCTGGCGCAGCACCTGCTACAGGAATTGCATTTCAGAGGGGTAGAAAACTCAAGCGCAAGCGAACGCTGTTGGAGAATCAGCGATTTCAATTGCAGGGAGACGCCGTGGGCAATCGTTAACATGAGTGTGTCCAGTATCCAGTTTCCAGTGTCCAGTGTCCAGTTTCCAGTGTCCAGTGTCCAGTGCCCAATGTCCAGTGTCCAGTGTCCAGTGTCCAGGCATGACTCGCGCGCATGCGCCGTGAACGCGCTAGACCTTCATGCGCCTTCTCGTGCATCGGACGATCGGGGTAGCGTGAGGTGGACAGCGAAGGCAGCGGTGATTTGTGTGGGTTGGACGGTGGGCGCGGTGCCTCAGCGGGTGAGCTCACCGGTGAGATGGGGTCGCCGCTGCAGGTCTGCGGGTGCGCGTTGTGCGCCGGCCGGCCCGGTCCCTTTTTCGTGTGCTCCTTCTTGCGCCATTTGGCGCGTCGGTTCTGGAACCAGACCTGCGGCGAGCGGCGGCGCGTCACACACAAAAACGGCGCAGCGCTCTCGAGAAGATGGCGACCCGGCTGGAAGACCTGATTAGAAGAGTCTATTAGAGGGTCCGATTAGGAGAGATCCCGGCCTCTGATAGCGTCGCGGACTCTAGGTGAAAATTGCACCGTAATAGTGCCGAATGTTATCTTTTAATTGTCCTGCGCTCGTTACGTTATTACGTCAGGCGACGTGATTCCCTATTGGGAAACGCAGCAGAAGCGCAGCGCAGGTTCCGGGTGGACTGCAAATGCGTGCCAGGCGAGAACAGCAAGGTTCGTAGCCTGGGACCAAACTCTGATGTCCCGCGTCTTTTACTTTGACTTTAATACATCCGCAGTTCGAGAGGCGTAGACGCTTCATGCATCAGCTACGGCAGCATGCCCCCCCCCCCCCATAGACTGCGACTGAGAGAACTAACCTGGCAAGAAAAGAGTATCGCTAACAACAAAGGTGTAAAAACATGTCTCTAGTACACACATGATAGTGCTGAAAACCGTCCCGTCGTTTCTCACAGCTCTCCAGAGAGCTAACCTGAGTGAGTGACCTGGGCGAAATACCCCGCCCCCCTCCTGCGACACTCGCCACCGACTCGAGAGCAGCACTAATCAACCCCTGTACGACCTGAGCGCCTGGCCTGGGTCGCGTAACGTGTCACTGTGACCCACAGTCGGTATCATCGCCACACTGCTCTCCGTGAGCACCAGTCCCATGGCCGGCGTGAGGCAGTCGGCTCGCGCTCACCGCCACCCTGCTCTACGTGAGCCCCAGTCCCATGGCCAGCGCGAGGCAGTCGGCGTCACTCACCGCCACCCTGCTCTCAGTGAGCCCCAGTCTCATAGCCAGCGCGAGGCAGTCGGCGCCACTCACCGCCACCCTGCTCCACGTGAGCCCCAGTCTCATAGCCAGCGCGAGGCAGTCGGCGCCACTCACCGCCACCCTGCTCTCCGTGAGCCCCAGTCTCATGGCCAGCGCCTCCCGCATGAAGACGTCCGGGTAGTGTCCCGACTGGAAGGCACGCTCCAGCTCCTCCAGCTGCCAGCTGTTGAAGTTGGTGCGCGACCGGCGCCGCTTCGACGCCGCGTCCTCGCCGTCCTCAAACTCTGCCGACAGAGCGCGGGGTTAGGCGGGCCGTGGTCAGAGGTGGGGAGGGGGAGGGGGCAACGGCACGCAGCGGGATAGAGGCCGAGCCTCAGACTCGTACACAATTACGAGACCTGTCAGCACAAGTCAAGCACGATCCACCCACTGCAAATGGCCATTGTCGAACTGATGTGGGTGAAGCGTAATGACTGCCACATGACAAGCAACAACGCAGAGTTCAAAGCATTAGCTTGTTGATATCTTGACAATCAAGCGATTCATACAATGCATTATGGCTCATGTGCGATCCACTTATTAATTTCGAACAAGGGTGTGGCTGTTCTCTGCAATCTTGTGCTGCGTTGGAGTTACGTTCGCCCACACGAAATTTCTCACCATTGAAAAAATTGACGTAAGAAATCGTCAATCGATCATTATCCCCCGCAGCGCCAAGACAGCAATTTTCCCTTACTCCTCACACTTTTTATTCAACGTGTTCAAAGATCAGTTGTAATGGGCAGAGAGGGTGCCGCCAAACTTGCTGTTTCATTTTTTGTTTTGTGCATCATGCACATTACCAGTTCAGCGACAAAATGCGCGGTTAATTTAGAGAAATGGAATCAATCAGGGCGAGGAAAGGACCCCGAGGTTTAAGGGAAGTTGGGCGCTTTCTTCGTAAGGTCAGTTGCAAATAAAGCTACTTTCGTCGCTTAAGTATTCATAACATTCGGATCGCGACAAGTGCTATTGTCTTTTAATGTGAGTGTGTGTGTGTAGGAGGGGGAGAGGGCAAATGTCTTGGCACGGAAGTAAAACGACGGGCAAAAAACCAGAGCAACGTGATTGTCCAGCAATGGGCAAGCGAAGGGAGCAATGAGCGTACTGCAAGCGAACAAGCAGTAAGCCATGGAAGCGTTCCATATAGGGTTAACGGTTGTTTCTGTCCTGGTGTCCAAACGATGTGAATTTATTGCATAAAGGGATGCTTTCCCGCTCTGCAGCTGGTATGTGGGAGGCGGTGCCTCTCACTGGTCATTGCACGGTTTGGTATTCCGTGCAACACCACCAACATGTGCTATGAGTCACGGGCTTTGACTTTCCCCAGCGTTGTTGCACGGGTGGAACGCATGGAAGACGTCACCACATCACCATTGTCAGGTCATCACAACGTCATCGGCAATCCATCGCAACGGCATCGTCACGTCATCAAAACGCCATCGTCACGTCACCACAAAGGAGACGTTCATTTGCATCGAAAAATAGACGTAGATATGCGGCGCAACATGAGCTTCGCCAAGAGCGCAAAGTTCAGAGGACATTGCCGCTTCTGTAATGCCTTTCTTTTTGTGCAAAAGCATTATCATGGTGCTAGGTTTCGAAAAAATTCGGGGACGGAAAGCTTCCTGTTTTGTCCCTTGCGCCTTACCCTTGCCCCGCCTCCGCCCCCCCCCCCCCCCGCCTCTGCCCCTGCATGAAAGCGTGACCAAAGCCATATGCAATACACAAATGGCTATGCTCGCGCCCTGCGGCAGTGGGGCGGCGAGTGGGGTGAACTCTCTGAACCGTCCCCGCACTACGAAGGACGTTGCAACACGATCCAGAGCGGCGCTGGCCGAGGGGTGCGACCGACACCGCGTGGGGGGGCGGCGCCGCCGGTGTCAGTCAGCGCGGCCGAAATCGGAGCGCCGCCGGGGTTTTTGTTCTGGCTCATGATAGCTTTCCGTTCTCGCAGTTCGTGGGTTCATTTTTGAACTTTGGGTGTAGTTTAGTTGCAGGTTCGGAGTCATTTCAGGAGTTCAGATCGCCTTTTGAAGTGTATGTTGAGTTCCGTTGCGCTTCGACAGATAGAACGAAACCACGAACCCCGGCAGCGAAATCTTCGCGCCACTGCACCCTCTGGGAACGAAGCATGTGTCAGTTAGCCCCCCCCCCCCCCACAAACACACTCTGAAAAGGTAAGTCGCCCTCTGACAACGAAGTATTTATTATTTTCCTTCCCCAATTTCAAAAGCCAGGTCGGCCTCTGGGTGATAAGATCACGCTGGATGCAAAAACTTGTCAGCTAGAGCTTATTTCACATCACAAAACGAATTAGCATACACACTGAAATCGTTTCCTTTTGAGATAAGGGCTCAAAACTTGCTCCTACGACTAGCACTGAAGGCAAATTCGGCAAAAAATCGGCTGCCGCAGCCTCCTGAGCAATCGTACTACTGCTGAAAGAAAACGGTCTTAGTTGCAAAAAGCACTATTCACGGCTCCTTGGTTCTGGCTACTCACGGCAACCCAACCAGCCACCGTCGACCACCCAGCGATAACACGCCGTCCGTGGTCCCTGTGAGTCATTGGGGCCTTACGACGCTCTCAGCTGCTGAGGCTGTGTGGCGTCGCCTGCCTCTCACCCTGGCAGGAAGGGCGGTCGCCGCGGGGAATCGAATCCCGTACCTCTGGTTTCCCAGAAGCGCAATGGTCAACGCAGACGCGTTAACCACACCATCGGCCACCTCTGACTCCTGATCCACCTCTAATCCCTGATCCAATCGCTGGCGATACGCCCCTGCCACGGTCCGTGTCGCGCCGGTCAGCGTCCCACGGTGAGGTCAATGGCGCGGCAGGGCTCCGGCACAGTTAGCACCACCTCCCGCAGACCCAGCGGCACCCCCAGCGGCCCCCAGTGGCGCCCCCAGTGGCACCCCCAGCGGCGATCGCAGCAGCGCGGTCTCGACGGGAGCGATTCGACACCGGCCGGGAGGGGAGGGGGTTTCCTCCCGGGGCGTCGGACCGGCTCTGCGGGAAGTCCCACCAGCGAACGTACCGGGTGAGGCCACTGCTAGGTGAGGCCAATGCCAATGACCAGGTGAGACCAATACCAGATGAGGTCAATGTCAGGTGAGGCCAATGCCAATGACCAAGTGAGGCCAATGTCAGGTGAAGCCAATGCCAATGACCAAGTAAGGCCAATGCCAGGTGAAGCCAATGTCAATGACTAGGTGATACCAAGGCCAATGCCAATGACCGGGTGAGACCAATACGAGGTAAGGCCAATACCAGGTGAGGCCAATGCCTGGGGTGTTGAACGCGGCCATAGCCATGGGATAAGCTTGTCTGGCACGGACACGCCCCCTATCCCTTCCTCCGAGTGCGTTCCGGAGAGTGATTTCTTTTCGGGCGAGCGTAGGCCATGGCCACGTCGGTGAGTTTTCGCTTCGAGAGCGTTCTGGCCCCACACGCCATCCGTCTAGGGCGCTACAGTCTGGGACGGTCCGAGGTCTCCGCACTTGCGAACTCGAAATCAGCTGGCATGGGCCAGCAGGCTGGGAGCCGCACTCGAGGATTCCAGCCCTAGTCAGAGCCGCTAAATCAGCCCACAATTACGCGGTTTGCCCCGGTGGGAGAGGGCAGCACTTCTTCACCGACGTCTCCGCAGCAGCCGTCTCTGAGCCCGCTACTGGCTAGAGCGCTATAACGTCGCCTCGTGACTGCCCGCTTGGATCAGGATAGCCGTGCTGGCCTGAGGTCATCGGGCTTGCAAGTGCAATCAACTCAAATGCAGTGGTTCTAATGACAGTTTATAACCGGGCGAGTACGTTTTGAAATCGGAGGCGTTTACAGTGGCATACATCAGCTACCCACTTGAATAGTCACTTTCAGCCATAGTCCCTGTGGTCAACCATGGTCTAGGCGTGGTCGTCACGATCAGCTGAAGTCACGACATTCACAACAGCTCATTAAATTGTGTGCCGCAAGTGGAATGATCACGGTTTGTACCAGAGTGGTAGTTTCTGCGGTCGGCAGGGTTGCAACGTCATCCAATGGCCGCCGACCGGAACGAAGGCACCACGATGACCCGAGGCCACCAGATTCACATCGCTCGACGAAATCGTGCGCCACGAGTCGAAAAGCGACGGCTTCAAGGCGCTGGAGCCAGCAGTTTCCGAGATTGGAGACAGCGGCGCAGACGGCAGTGACGCGCTGCTGCCCGGCGGGCGGGCCACCTCCACCCCCTCCAGCGCGTGCCGACCCTCACCTCCCCACACGTCAATTACCGCGCACCGGGCGCGAACTCGGCGCGTAATCGTGCGGCAATGGCGGCGCAGTGGCGTGTCGGAATGCTTGCCGCGCCATCGCCAATCAATACGCCGCGGGCCGGCCGGCAAATTGAAACCGATACGATCGCGGCGCATGCAACGCGGCGCCATTGCCGCGTCGGCTCAGGCGTCCATCAGTGCGGCGCAGACCGTCTAAAATGATTACGGCCATATTTCATGGCGGTCGGGTAATGCCGGCTATTAGTCGGGCATTAGCCGACCATTTCTTGGCGGGCCTGAGTAGCTGCCGAGGCGATGGCCGGCAGACGGAGACGAGTACTGCCGGTCAGCGGCCAGCTGAGACGAGCGCTGCTGGTCAGCGAACAGATGAGACGAGCACTGCTGGTCAGCAGCCAGCTGAGATAGTCACTGCTGGCCAGCGGCCAACTGAGACGAGCACTGCCGGTCAGCGGCCAGCTGAGACGAGCGCTGCTGGTCAGTGAGCAGCTGAGACGAGCATTGCTGGTCAGCAGCCAGCTGATGCAGTCACTGCTGGCCAGCGGCCAACTGAGACGAGTACTGCTGGTCAGGGGCCAGCTGAGACGAGTACTGCTGGTCAGCGGGCAACTGAGACGAGCAGCGCTGGTCAGCAGCCAGCTGAGACGATTACTGCTGGTCAGCAGCCATCTGAGACGACCACTTCCAAGCCGCGGACATCTGAGACGAGCACTGCTGGTCAACAGCCAGCTGAGACGAGTGCTGCTAGTCAGCGGCCAACTGAGACGAGCACTGCTGGTCAGCGGACAGCTGGGACATCAGCCAGCTAAGACGAACGTGACCGAGCTGGGGCGAATGGAACCAACGAGCGGACAGATGGGACGAGCAGATCTGATCTTACAGTAGGCTACAAACGAAACGCCTGCAGCTCGATATCCGTTTCAAATTGGATCCGAGATCCGAAGGAAGTGTGCGCCGAGCTTCTTTTGCACCCC